CTTGTTCTATAGAGATTCTTCTTCAATGAATAATTCAGACTCAAACTGCATATTGGTAACTATATTTTAAACCAAAAATTCCTCACATAATAAATACATTTTATGCACATTAACTTCAAATTTACCTCAGAAAGCTATTTACAATATAAATAATTATAAATGGTAACACTTTGCAAGATATCATTGACGTAGCTAATATTTTCTACTTTACACTCCAAAGTAAAAGTTCAAATTACAGCTTTATACTACAATAGCACTAAAAACTATACATTGCAAGATGATATTTAGAATATTGACAACCAGTATCTTCTCACAGAAATATAATCCCTTTATAGCATGTCAGTCAAAAATCAAGCATAAAATATTTTCTCTTTCTTGAAGTGCCTCTCATGTTTCATTTTTTTGAAATATTTTCCATTGAAAAGAAGTTATAGTACTTGTAAAAGTTTGTCCATGCCAATTTCATTTCTTTTGAAATATAAACACATGATAATTGTTGGGTAGAAATTTAACTGTGATTAGATGTGTCTTAGATTAGCAAATTAGGACAAAGTCCTCCTACCTAAGTTTATGAAAGCAAAGTTCCATGCAGCAAAATTCCAATAAACAAACTACAAATGTTTAGCTTAAAATTATCAATTATAATTTCTTGTGTGAACCATCATATATATATATATGTATAATTGTATATGGCACATTTTTAACTACCCAAGGTAATATAAAAGTCATACTTTTCTCTGCATGTGTCTGTGTATGCATACTTCCTGCATATGGTCTTAGAGAAGGAACTCAAAAAAAATCTATATGGAACTGAGTTTTGTCTTGCCTTTTGAGTTTAAGCACTACCCGTATGACCTTTGAGCACAAGAAATAAACACCTTACAAAATTTTCCCCCAAGAACATCTGTTTTATATATATAATACCTTTCTCATGTATCCACAGCTGTTCTGTCATGCATTTCAATTTTAGAATGTTTTAAACATCGTATGTTTCACAGTAAGAAGTAGCCAATAGATTTCACTTAGATTACCATGTCTACAAAAAGCTGACATTTACATGAAAGTTGTATGTAGGACTTACATTCTAAGTCATTCAGAAAAATGGATGTGTGTCTACATTCAAAATTTGAATGAACTAGGGAGCCGAATCTGGGCATTCAAACTCTTTAAATAAGGACTGTGTTACAGTGTAAGCTATTCCACCAGGCAAGATGAATGATTCCCAAATAGTCAAATACTCAGTTATTCACCCTATTGCTCCTAAATAGTCAAATACTCAGCTATTCATTCTATTATTCCCAATTACTGTTAGCACTAATAGATTGCAAGAAATCGCTGAGCAATATGCTGCTTTTGAGAGAGCCTGAAAGACAAAGAAAGAGATCCAGAGAGGTACAGCTATGAAGTAGCAAATCTGTATTTAGAGTGCCTCTTTATACTACTTTCTTTCAAAGTTACTTGACCTAGATCTTGAGGGGAACATATTTCATTGATTTCTAAAATATCTATGCATATTTTCCAAATAATCTTGTATTAGAATAAAGCGCCATCCTCCATTTTAAAAAAGAAAGAAAAATGGAACATGTAACTCTTTTCTAGAAAATCCTATTAAAGCTTATTTTAAGTGGGATTCTCTGCCCAAAGGCAGCATGTGGCAGCAGGGTGTAGAGAGAATTAAGAACAGTGCTCAGTGGAAATATTCTATCACTAAATATAATCAGGAAATAATAAGTGGTTTTTCTGTAAAAACACTGAAGGAAAATTGTTTACTGCATCTTGTCTCATTTTGAATGCCATGTCAGTTCTGCCATGGTGTTTGCAGCAGGCAAGTACAATTTAGAAAAGCTAGCCCATTAGATTCTGCATATCATGTTGAAAGAGCTGTGGAGCTGAAGCATATCTGAATGTCTGGCTTACAGTCACTCTGACCTTAGTAATGTATCCAAAAATAACACATCAAATCTGTATGTTCTCCGTACTAATTTTACAGAATTTTCCCAGGGAAGACTGGGGAAAGATTTATTTCATTAGTCATTCACTTTTTTTTTTTTTTTTTTTTGAGATCGCTATAGCCCCAGCTGGCTTGGAACTTGCTATTAAACCAAGGTGACCTCAGTCTCACAGAGATTCCCCTGCCTCTGCCTCCCAAGTGCTGGGATTAAAGGCATGCCACACCATGCCTGGCTCACAATTTTTAAAATTTTACCTGGGTAAATCAGGTAAATGGGCAACAGAGATATATTTGCTATTACCAGAAAGAATGAGCTTTGGACCATCTAATGAACTGGTACATATTGTAGTGGTTTAACTGGATATAGTAAATTTTTATGAATCCTCAAAGTGATACAAGAACGCATACTTCCCTACTCAATCAAGTTTCATATTTTCAGCATTTTAACAAAGGGAAATTGCAGATTAAAACTAAAGCCAATATAAGTTTTAAAGCCAATTTAAGTTGAATTGTAATCAGGTTATTGGGAATGTATTTATTTTACATCCCATATTTTTTAAAGACACAAATAACATATTCTTTATGAGGAAATATGTTCCTATACAGAACAAAATAATGTAGATTGAAAAAACATTTTTACAAATCTATAGGAACAGTGAGAAGTTACCTTGCTGTAAAAGGTCAACTTATTTTAGATCATTTATAATAATCATAACATTCTGCAAAACTATTTAAGTGATATAGTATTGTGGGTCCATGAGGTGTTGTATGCAATATTAGAAAATTGCTACTACAAAATTGACATTCCATTAATTAACTATATGGTTAATGTATTTGAAACTGGGTCAATCTACCAAGACTTTAATCAAAATGCAATTTAGGTAATTCTGTCTTCCTTTAAAAATATTGGTCATAGAATTCTAAAATATACTGTTCTTCCTGATGAGCCTGTCTTTGTAGTTCATGATTTATTTCTTGTATGAATTATCCTCCATATTAAAGTTCCACCGAAATTACTTTAGCAACAATCTTTTCTTTACTATCAGCTCATTTTTCATGGTTCTTTTTTCTATTTCTCTTACATTAAGTATCTCCGATACATTAATATATACCCACCCATCAACAGAACCTGCTTGTACAAATTTCTTGTCCAAAATCCATATTTATCAAATATTTGTGTCTGAAATGTCTATCCATCTATAGAATTCTGCAAAATCTTCACAATTCCTAAAATCTTACTTTATATTGAAAGTTGATCCAATTCCACTTTTAACATCCCATGTATTTCTCATAAATAATTTTCTTAAAATTGCTTAATAATTTTCACATATAATTCAAAATTTAGCTTTCATTTTACTTTAAACATATAACTACTATTTTGCTACTGACTTGCACTTTTCTTCATTTTCGTTGACAATTGTTGTCATATTCAAGAACTAATTCGTTTTACCTAGCCTCTTCCCTCATACACAAACAACCGAATATTTGATTCTCAATTTATTATCATACAGATTGTCACTGAGCTATGTACTGCAAAATAATTATGTTAAATGATGAAAATATAGTACTAATCCCTGAGCATCCAATGCCATGTAGTGTTTTCAGAATTATACATTAAGTCCTTCCAGTACATATTCTTCTCTTTAAATATGGCAAGTGTGATAGGCATGGAAGTCCTAAAAAAATATTATCTATGAAACTTCTCCAACCACTCCTGTTATTTTCCTTTGACTACTAGAGAATTAATTCAATAAATTTTGCTATTTTTCTTCTCCCTCATAAATTTCTATATCTACATTTTGACTGAATCTAAGAGAAAGTTGACTGTTAACTATTCCTGCCTAGGCGCCTGCACACTTGCTTAAGTTATGAAGCATCTAGACCTCTGCATGTATACAGATCTAGAACCACCAGCATGAAACACAGCAGGGAACTAACTGCTTACAAGTTCACTTCCACTGCAGCAAAGAACCACAAGAATGATGGACAACTGAAGCTGGCTTTCACACCAGAGAACTGAAGGTCAGGCACTGAGTGGTACATTTATGATATCGAAATTAGTTAACAGGCAGTGTCAAAACCAGAACTCAGGGGTTTTTGGCATCTAGTTCACTGGTCTTTCTATTGTGCTAAATGGACATATGAGCAAGTGAGTTGTTTTCATTCTTTACAGACAGTAAGAAACTGAACATTTCCCTGTTGCTTCCATCAGAGTACCCCTCACCCTTTGAACTTGTCTATCTGCTTCGGCTTTTATCTTAGACTCTCTCCTGAGGCTTTCTACATGCTGACATACTGGCACATCTGTGCTTTGAAATGTTTTTAAACACCATGTAGCACTTCACATATCTTCCTTAGCTATTTTTGTATTTATCGGCATGGGGTGTGTGAATTGGTTTAGATTTCTTATTTAGTGGCTTTTACATACTAGCCCCAAATATGTTGTTTACCTATCTGAGAATTAAATTGTTTTGAGATTTAGTATCATTCTACTTTGCCTCTGCCCTTAAATACTTCCAATTGAGTATACGTTTTTTATGTGTCTCCCAACATAATGCTGTTACTTAGAAAACTCCTTAATGCTATGTCAAGGCAATCGTGGTCCGTGTCTAACTCAAAAGCAAGGTGGAAAATCACCACTTCCTGATTGCTTGTAATGGATACCAGGTGAAAATGCATTCTTGAACTGTAGCCAGAGTCACTTCTCTAATTTATGCCTGAACCAAAGAGCCGACCAGTTTGAAATCACAAACAAAAAAAATCAATTTACAAGACATATCACTTTCTCCTTTAGTTATTTTGGGAACTAACATTTCTCTAAGAAGCTTTATGTGGTAGTTAACTAAAAATACCCATTTTGTATATTTATGCATATGAAGTGTGCACTGCAGTTTGTGGATAGCAGTCTGTGTGTATGAATTTTACTGGACTGTCACAACACAGTGTTTCTATTTATCAGCCCTTCCATATGGTGTATATGCTTACTTAACTTATATGAGTATTTTTCAATTCAAATGTATTTATTCTGGTTCCTCCATAATAAGTGGGCAATTCCTATATTTTCTTTAGCTCTATTATCTGTATATAACCCTGAATGTGAGTGCTACTGGTTTCTTTAATTTCACAGGAGCGCGTGTAAAATAGCCAGAAACTTAAATTAGCCTCTCTAACACTCTGTGGCAGAGCAAATGCTGCTAATGGGGCATTAAACTGTAAATATGTTTCAGAGACCCTTGAAGAACAAAATATTTTAGAAAAACATCAGCTTCCATTGGTTATTATAACAGATGTTCCCTTGTGTCCTTGTGCTGGGTCTGGCTGCATCCTTAAATGGGAAGTTACATCAAAATGTGAGCCATTACAGCCCAAGGAATAGTTTCTAATGGTTTCACTGTCATATAAGTGTTCCAGGGCATATCCAGTTAATGTGTAGGCATGCTTATCAAAATACTGCCGGTGGGAACCAAAGCAGTTTGGAGAGATGGCAGGATGGTCGCTTGCTGTCTGATGAGGAGACATGTCTGAATGTAGATAGTCTTTAGCTAATATCAAACTGGATTTTGAAATGCGATCAGAATTGGGACTGCTAATCCGAGATAGTGCAGTAGGGCTGTTGTCATAGTCATTTTCATGGGGGCTCAGCATCTTTCCCTCTCTCTGCTGGATATGGTCGCATGGTGAAGTGCTGGCAAGAGCAGAGCTGTGACAGACTTCTGATGACGGGGGGTGTTGGTAGTGTGTAAAACAGAGGGAGTGTTTTTTTCCAGCTCCATTAATGGAAGTCAGTTGGTCTGGAGGGGCTTTCCTTAGCTGTAGTCTGTTCTCTTCTTCTTTAATCATTTGCTGGGTGGCTCTTATCAGAGTTTCAATTTTGCTAGGTTCATGTGGGCTATTTTGATACTGTTCAGGGCGGTATCGATCACCTGATTCACTGGCTGACCCAGGATCTGGAGAGCTGACCACACTGTCTTCATCCCAGTGACCTCGTCCTAGAAATGACAAAAAGTAAAAAGTAAGTGGTGTCATAGTTCACCAAATAAAAGAAAGAAGTATAATCCTTTCCAAAGTTTACCTCTCCAAAAAAATAAAAAAGAAGTACATTCATTTCCTAGGAAAGAAATCTTATATATTTCATTTTTAATATAATATTTCAAATATATACAGCCTTGCATGACAGAATATCAGCATATTATACAAGAATCCAGATGTAAATTGGATTCATATATAATCAGTGGATTTTAGTTGCAGGTAAAGTTTATAAAAAGTTCCTTAGAAGATAAACCTTGGTCATGAGTTGTGAATGCCAATTAGTGAAATTATAAATAAGTATGTTTATATTTCTCTATTTATGTATGCTATTGGAACTGCCCAGCTGCAAATAATAAAAGAAAGATGCATAAAATTTGGTTTGTTATTTTTTTAGAGCATTGTCATATTAGAGTGATGCCTAGAAAAATGTTTTCAACTGAGTTTAAAGAAGACA